CCTCCTCCTCCTCCTCCTCCTCCTCCTCCTCCTCCTCCTCCTCCTCCGTCTTCTTCTTCTCCCTTCTCTCTCGTAGATTTTGACTTCAGCGTCCCGGGTTCCATGAAACTCCACAATCTCATTTCGAAACTGAAGAAGTGGATCAAAATCCTGGAGGCCAAAACCAAGCAGCTGCCCAAATTTTTTCTCATCGAGGAAAAATGCCGTTTTCTTAGCAACTTCTCTGCCCAGACAGCAGAAGTGGAAATTCCTGGAGAATTCCTGATGCCCAAACCGACGCACTACTACATCAAAATTGCGCGGTAAGAGAAGGCTGCTAAACTTGTACTGTTTACAACTAAGTGTCAGAGCTAGTGTTTAGAGCAAGATACTTTGGATAGCATAGGATACCGCTGAAAGAGGATATTTGTAGCTCAGGATGGGTCCTTGGCGCTCTCTGAGCTTCATTGTTTCCGGGCAGATGTTTCATGACCCAACTAGGGAATGTTATCAGTGTGAGACGGAGGAGGAGGAAGAGGAGGTGAGGTGAGAAGGACTGGAAAGTCCTAGGTGCTCTCCAAGCTGGGTTTTCTTACAGCCATTTCATTACCCAACTATATAACATTATCAGTATTAGAAGGGAGAGGAGTTTGGAGAGAGGAGGAGGAAGACTGAGGGGTTCTTGATGCCCTTTGAGGCTGGTTGTTTTCTTGCAGACATCTCCTTACCCAACTAGGTGACATCATCAGTGCTAGAAGGGAGTGGGGTTGGTAGAATGGAGGAGGAGGAGGAGAAGGAGGAGGAAGACCGTGGGGACCTTGGCGCTCTCTGAGCTTGTTGCTTGCCTTGCAGACATTGAATTACCCAACATCAGCGCGGGAAGGGGTTTGTCTTTAAACAGAGAGCAACCCCCCCCTTCCTTCTAGCAGTGATGAGAGCACGAAACGGTCACAAGTGCGGGTTTTTTTCAGTGCCATCGGAACTTCAAATGCTCACCAAACCAATGGCTGTAAATCAAGGACTACCTAGTATCTAGGCCAGTCTTTTCCAACCTGGCCCAAGCTTGAAAGCAGGCTGGGGCTCATGGAGCCTGTAGTCCAGCCTTCCTTGAGGATGCTATTGTTCAAGAAGGCTGGGGCTCGGGAAATTACATCCAACCCAAGGGTTGGGTTGTTTCTGGCTCAGCAAACCGTTTCCTGGTGTCTCCCTCTGCACGTGTTTGAAAGAAGGTTTTGTCGTTCCGTTTGGAGGAGACAAAAGAACTCTGTGTGTGTATCACCAAAAGCTTTTCACCGAAAACACTAATCTCGGCTGAGCCCCATATATATATGTATATCTCCTTCAAGATGAGAGCCAGATATCTATCTATCTATCTATCTATCTATCTATCTATCTATCTATCTATCTATCTATCTATCTATCTATCTCTATCTCTATCTCTATCTCTATCTCTATCTATCTATCTATCTATCTCTATCTATCTATCTATCTATCTATCTATCTATCTATCTCTATCTCTATCTCTATCTCTATCTATCTATCTATCTATCTATCTATCTATCTATCTATCTATCTCTATCTCTATCTATCTCTATCTATCTATCTATCTATCTATCTATCTATCTATCTATCTATCTATCTATCTATCTATCTCTATCGCTCTCATCTCGAAGGAGAGAAACGAAGCTTTAAAATCTGGAAACTCAGCTTCTTTTTAATCTTTCTTTCTCTCTTTTTCTTGTTGTTGTTTGTTCTTCCTCTTCTTCCCGCTCCCGATAGGTTTATGCCCAGAGTGGAGATAGTTCAGAAACACAACACCGCAGCTCGAAGACTGTATATCCGAGGCCATAACGGGAAGATTTATCCCTACCTTGTCATGAACGATGCGTGTTTGACCGAGTCCCGTAGAGAGGAACGAGTCCTGCAACTCCTTCGCCTCCTGAACCCTTGTTTGGAAAAGAGGAAAGAAACCACGAAGAGACACCTGTTCTTCACCGGTGAGTTTGAGAAGATGGAGAGGGGCCCTCCCCCCCACCCCAAAATGCTTTAATGTTGGGGGCGGAGGGGAGAGATTGCAGTGGTGGCTGAACAGCGAGAAGAACGGGCCAAAAATTAGAACATAGAAAATAGAATCATAGGGCTGGAAGAGGGAACAGAGCCGAACCTTCCTTAGGATTGAAGCAATACAGACTCAGCTAGCCAATGGCAGAAACGTAGATTTCTAAGCAACTCAACCTGCCTGCCTGCTTTGCCTGATTGTGGGTAAAAATTGCTCTTTTTTAAAAATAAAAAGTTCAATATTTACATACATGGTGTGTTGTGAGTTAATTTTGTGAGTTTTCTTGTTAGCAAATTTTATGGGTTTGCTCGCAAGCAAATTTCATGTGACAGGCTCAGGTAGCTGATCTCACAAGATCTCTGAATGAATCTGTGATTCTGCGAGCAATTCAATCTGCCTGCCTGCTTTGTCTGATTTTGGGTAAAAGTTGCTCTTTTTTTTAATTAAAAAAATATATCAATATTTATTCAATATTTTGGGGAGTTGAAGTCCATAGCTGGCTGGAGAATTCTAGGGAGTTGAAGTCCACAAGTCTTAAAGTTGCCAAGTTTAGAGACCTTTGCGGTAGAACATCGGAAAAGCTTTAAAAAAATGTGCTGACTCAATTCCCCTCCTCTCCAGCCTCTGCAGTAGATCAATCATATTGCAGCTGTTATATGGGTGTGTGTGTGTGTGTGTGTGTGTGTGTGTGGACAAACCTTGTGGGATTTTGAGTGAAAAAAACTAGAGGCTAGAACAGGGCTGACCAACTTTGGCACTTTAAAGACCTGTGGACTTCCAACTGCCAGAATTCCCCAGCCAGCTGTGGACTTCTGCTCCCAAAATCCCACTCCCACAGGTCTTCAAGTTGTCAAGGTTGGGCAGTCCTGGGCTGTGTTGGTTGTGTGTCCAAATCTTACACTATCGAAAAGAAATCACAAATATTAAGACAGGAAGGCGTGCGCAAATTTTTCAGGCACAAAATAGCCACGTTGAGCGCTTCATCTTAAAGTGATGACCATAAATTACCAGCAAGAGCATATTGAGGTTAGATGTAAGATTATTGGAGGCTTCTGAGCAAGATTTGAAGGTAGAAGGACCTGTGCTGGGGTATCCTGGACTTTTAAAATGCTTCTTTCTGCTGTTTTCCGCAACACGAATGGCTCCTATTGTTTTCTCCTCTTGTCTTCTTTTCCCAGTTCCCCGCGTCGTGGCTGTCTCTCCCCAGATGCGTCTTGTGGAGGACAACCCTTCTTCTCTCTCCCTGGTGGAGATCTACAAGCAACGCTGTGCCAAGAAAGGGATTGAGCATGACAGCCCCATTTCTCGCTACTACGACCGGCTGGCCACCGTCCAGGCACGAGGGACCCAAGCCAGTCATCAGGTATTGCATTGCAGAAAGGATTGCCCACTTAGTGTCCAGTTCTGGTTGCTGCCATTCAGAAAATTTTTTAAAAAAGATTATGATTCTAGAAAGTGTTCAGAGAAGAGCAACAAAGATGATTAGGGGACTGGAGGCTGAAACGTATGAAGAACGGTTGCAGGGACTGAGTATGTCTAGTTTAGTGACAAAAAAGACTCAGGGTGACATGATAGCAGGGTTCCAATATTTGAGGGGCTGCCCCAAAGAAGAGGGAGTCAATCTCTTCTCCAAAGCACCCTGGAAAGCAGGACAAGAAGCAACGGATGGAAACTAATCGAGGAGAGAAGCAACCTAGAACTCAGGAAAAATTTCCTAAGGATGAGGACAATTAACCAGTGGAATGAGTTGCCTCCAGAAATTATGGTCGCTCCATCACTGGAGGTTTTTAAGAAGAGATTGGTCAACCATCTTCCTGCTTGAGCAGGAGATCAGATCAGAAGATCTGCAAGACTTCCGACTAATGGTCAATATTAAATTGGCACCAGATGAGAAGTTATGGGTGCTCCATCACTGGAGTTTTCAAGAAGAGACTGGACAACCATTTGCCTGGAATTAAATATCCCTTCCAGCCCTATTATTTGATGTTCTAGTGTTGTTTACTCAAGAGATGAATCTTTTACGGTTTGGCATTTAAGCCCTGTTCCCACGTCTTCCCCTTAATTTCCTTGCTCTCACTAAAGCAAAGTTTGACTCTTCCTGAGAAGGCGTAGGTACGAATTAATCTTCCATTACCACCCTGATTCATCCATTTCTGATCAGAAATGGTTAGCTTAAAAGGTTTAAAATTTATAAGCAGGCTGGAGGTTGTCCTTGACCTGTTTTTAATTCCAGCCGCACCACATCTCGAAGGTTCACCTGCTAATAAGCAACCTTTCATTCTTTGCCCAGCCTAAAAATCAAGTGACTTGGGACATCTGTCTCCTTTTCGTTTTTTTCCCTTGCCTTCAGCGCGCAGAAATTTTGTCTCCCTAAATAATTTAATTTGAGCAAGTGCAATGATTGTTCTTTTCCAGCAGCTCCCTTCTTTATTTCCAACTCCAATTAATTAAGCCAGTCCATGCTGTAGTAATTCATTACGGGTGACTTACAGATATTTACACGTGAAAACCAGCTTGCCTGTAGAAGGAGCAGAAAAACCCCAACCCGTAGAGATTTGAGGCCAATCTAAGCCTTTAGAGACCAACTAAACCAGTATTTTTTCAGCCACTTTAAGCTGGGTGGACTTCAACTCCCAGAATTCCCTAGCCAACCATAAACAATAGAGTTGAAAGGACCGGAAGGACCACCTAGATCAGTGTTTCTCATCCTTAGTCATTTTAAGATGCGTGGACTTCAACTTCCAGGATTCCCAAGCCAGTATGGAGAAGCCATTCCCCAGCCATAATTCCTCATCATGCTGGAAGTTGAAGTCTATCCATCTTAAAGTTTCAAAGGTTGAGAAACACCACACTGGAACAGTAAGATTTGAATTAGGCGCGTGGATAGGAGATAGAAGCATTTAAGTGGGTGTGTTTATACCGTTAAATAACTGTAAGGCAGAAGCTTCTGGTGCTAACCCAGACCGGTTGGGATACCATTCTTGTCGGATGGAGAATTTGCTGCTTTCTGCTCTGCATGGTGGTTTGTGGTTTGTGTGCAAATCTGCAAGTTTTCAAAGACCGTCTGAGACAACCAGTGTCACCAACCCACCTCCTGATCAACTTCCTCTTCCCTTCTCAGGTCCTCCGGGATATTCTAAAAGAGGTTCAGGGTAACATGGTTCCACGCAGCATGCTGAAGGAGTGGGCCCTTCACACATTCCCCAACGCCACCGACTACTGGACGTTCCGGAAGATGTTCATCATCCAGTTGGCGCTGATTGGTTTCGCGGAGTTTGTCTTCCACCTCAACCGACTCAACCCTGAGATGTTGCAGATTGCTCAGGTAGGTTTCGAGGGAGGGTTGGCCCCCTTAGGGACCTCGTCTGTGAGACCTACGCAGCGACCCCCGTTGTTTTAGCCTGTCGGTCGCTGGCCCCTCCAACAAGGAATCAAGAGAAGGAGGCGGGGGAGTCAGGGTCAGCATCAAGGCAACTTGGGAGCTCCGAGGGGGAAGGGGGGAATGGAGCTGGCAGAGAGAGAGAGAGAAAGAGAGGCAGAGGCGGAGCCGTCCGTCAACCCTTAGATGGAGAGACAACATCCCCCAGGTCTGGAGGTGGCTGAGGAGGAAGAGGAGGAACAGCTGAGTCTAGTGCCTGATGCACGGATGTGCAGAAGGCAGAGGAAAGGAGAGCAGTGGAAATCTGTGGGCCGGTCCTTGGGACTGAAGAGCCACCGCTGCTAGCGAAGCCCTACCCGAGCTCTGGGGATAAAAAGCAGGTGGTGGAGATGCAGATACAGCAGGTCGGTTCATCACAGAAGGAACTTCAGATGTCTTCTCCGGCCACTGCGGAGAAGTGAAGCGGTTGAGAAGAAGTCCAGAACTCTTCGGGGGTAGGGGTCTCCCCCTTGACTTGCTCTTAAGGCGAAAATATGCTGAGTTTGCTGAAACTTTTAATGGACGTCCTCCCCCCCTTCTTCTCTCTTCCCCCCTCCTCCTCCCAATTCTCAACCGTTCCTTTTCAGCTGCATTGTCAGGGACAACAACCTCGAAAGTTTCTGTGTGCGGAGAGAGAGAGAGAGAGAGGAAAAAAAATATCAGAAACCAGAGCAATTTCCCCCCCCCCCCCAGCCCCCTCGGGCCGACCCATCCGGCTGTACAACAAAAGAAGCCATTATTCAGGATTGATACCTTGCTGAGAGAGTTTTATACCTGTCATCTTTATAACGCTGGTTAATAGAGGGCTGCGTTCGTAGCCGAATTTCTTGTTAACCTCACTGTGCCGATCCCGCCTGAGCGGTTCGAAAAGCCTCTCTTGGCATTCCGCTTCAACCTCGTCTATCACAGATGTGGAATTGAATAGGAGGAGGGCTTCCCCCTCCTTTTTTCCCCCTCCCCATCTTAAATCTCTAGGGGCCCACAAGCCAAATAATGTTGAGGGAGGGGCAGGGAAGGCTAAAATCTAAACGCATTGTCATCAAAATGGCACTCATCGGACGCAACTGCACTTAACCCCTGAATGGATGGGACCCCTTTGACGTCCATAACACAGCTAAGTCCTCGACGTGCGGCCGCCATGGAGGGCCAACATTCCTGTCACTGGGCAGAATGTTGGGTTGAGCGAGTTTTGCCCCGTTTTGTAATGACCTTGCTTGCCTCAGGGACGTTAAGTGAATCCCTGCAGCGGTTACGTACCGCTGTAAAGTGAAACCGGCTTCCCCGGCTTGGTCTTTGCTTTTTTATGTGCCAACTGGGACATCGGCAACCGTCGTAAATATGAGCCAGTGGCATCTGAATTTTAATCAGGTGGCCCCAGGGAATGCATCCAGAGTTTTTGCCGCATTAATTCAGTGCCAGAAAAATCAACAGAGGGCTGATGCTTCCTCTAACGTCTTTATAAACATAAGTAAATTTTACAAACCAGTTGTAGATTTCACCAACAGGGAGCAAACTCAGACAGAAATAAACCTGTTGCAAGTAACTTCAGAGCAGAGCTCCAGTCTTCAGCAAGCAAGCAAGCTAGTTTCTCTTTTACTTTAGTTCAGCGGACAAGCAAGAGGAGAGAAACACTTTCATTTGACTCGGAGCTCAACATAGTTGCAGAGCTTAATATAGCGCCATGTCTAGGCTACTTCTAGTTTCAGTTTCCAAACAGTCCTCATTGGCTGACTTAGTTGCTATGCCTATTCACTGGCTGACCTTGTGACCAAGCTCTATTCCAGTTCATGAATATACTCTTGGCAAAAATGCTGCATGGGTCGTGAGTGCGAAAAACAGTCCTAAGTCCCTTTTTTCAGTGCCATCGTAACTTCGAACATTTGTGATACGAACTGTTGTAAGTGGAGAACTTTCCTGCACATTGTGTCTTTCCATCACGTTAACAATTACATTTGGGGGGGGGGGGGGGAGAAGTGTTTGGAAGCCTCTGGGGGCCACCTTGAAGACTTTGGAGGGCCCCCCCCCCCGGTGGCCCCAGCCTGTGCATTCTTATTTTGGAGTCGATTTTCTTTCCCCGCTTTCTCTGTCGCTCCTGCCAACCTTGTGCTTGTGTTTCCTTCCAAACCTTAGGATACGGGCAAATTAAACGTGGCCTATTTCCGGTTTGACATCAACGATGCTACCGGGGATCTGGACGCCAACCGTCCCGTCCCATTCCGGCTCACCCCAAACATTTCGGAGTTCCTCACCACCATCGGGGTCTCCGGGCCCCTCACAGCATCCATGATTGCCGTGGCGCGTTGTTTTGCGCAGCCGAACTTCAAAGTAAGTGTGTAGTAGCTGCCCTAGTGCTGGGCTGAGAAGGGCGCTCCCTTGGCTACCAGAAAATGTATTGATGGATTGGTTTTGAATGGATGGAACGATTGATTATTTATGGGTGTGCCTCCTTTATTATTTTTTACAAGTAACGCAAGGCAGTGGACATATCCAACACACCTTCCTCTTCCTGTTCGCCTCACAACAATAACCTTGTGAGGTGGGTTGGCTGAGAGAGAATGATTGGCCCAAAGGTATTCAGCTGGCTTTCGTGCCTAAGGCGGGACTAGAACTCCCAGTCTCCTGGTGATTGGTCCATAGTCACCCAGCTGGCTTTCATGCCTAAGGTGGGACTAGAACTCCC